CCCACCCTGAAAGACATATCAACAGGACCGTCACACACAGGAATGCTAATTGGACCCTGGCTCTGGTTCCGCCCATAGGCTGAAGTTCTGCCTTGTCTCCTCTCTCCCAGGTGAGGGAGACCCTGGCAGCAGAGACAGGCCTGAGCGTGCGGGTGGTGCAGGTGTGGTTCCAGAACCAGAGGGCCAAGGTGAGGTCCCAGCCCGGCTTGGGAGCGTGCGACACGGACAGTCCGGGTTAGCTGTGATCAGCACTAAACGCTCCATGTGCTGCTTAGAGGCAAATCTACTAGTTAAGCTACTGGCTCTGTCCACCTCCTGTTCTGTAAAAAAAAAGGTTTTGTGTGGTGGATCACAGTCAAATCTGTGTCTATGGTTCACCGTAAGTTAAGTGCGCAGCAGATCTCTGGCTCGCACTTCCAAAAAATCTGCGCTGCCGAGTCGGGGCGAGAGTGAATAACGCCATTTCATTTCTTTTCAGATGAAGAAGTTGGCAAGGAGACAGCAGCAGCAGCAGGAACAGCAGAACACTCAGAGGCTCGGTCAAGGTACGTGTCAAGGAATTTCATTGGCTGGCCTCCTGTCACATGGTACAGCGTGTGATAGAACGGCAGTCATGTGATCAGTCATGCCACCAGTCAGTGGAATACTGTTGTAATGCAGCGTATTATGGGATATTATCATTAGATAAAACCGCAGAGTTTTTCCAAGTTACATTTAATCCATCATAATGCAGTTTGTATTTTGCATGCGTAATTAATTTTTAGTAATTAAGCTGAATGTGGTGCGGGGAGAGTTTTTGTGCCGAGTTCAGGGCGTTGGAGCTGTACCATGGCGATGGCATCGCACTGCGTTCATGGGGGGGGTAAAAAGCCAGGAGCTGCAGGAGGTCGGGAGCCGCTTATAGCCCCATTTGCTCTTCTGCAGAGGCCATCTCCAGTCGCATGGAGGGCATGATGGGGTCGTACACGCCGCTGGCCCCCCCTCAGCAGCAGCTGGTGCCTATGGACCAGAACAGCTACAGCACCGATCCCTTCCAGCAGGGTCTGACCCCCCCACAGATGCCCGGAGACCACATGAACCCATATGGTGAGAAGAGACACCCCACTCCCCAGACCTGCGGGGTGGTTGTGGAAACACACACACACACACGCACACACACATGCACATACACACACATAAACATACATAGACACACACACAGCCGCACATACACACACACACACACATTCATGCACATACACACACATATGCATGGACATACACACACGCACACGCTCGCACATACAGACACAGACACACACATTCACACATGCACACATACTCCTCAGCAAGAGACATAGGACTCACCATGGGAAATGAACCAGATCCTGCATATGTGATCTTCATCAATGTCTTCATCACGCTTGCTGTCACAGCGCCAGTCCTGGCGATCCTTCACAGCTGCTACTGTCCGTTATGCCACAAGGACTCTGGTATATCGGCAAGCCGAACTGAAGCCAGCGGAATTGTGGGAAGTCGGAGTAGGAGATTAAAAGCAGGACGATCCTCCAGCACGGGGTGGGGGGGGGGTTTCATTGCGGCTCAGATGTTTGGACTTTTACCTCAGGCATTTATTTCAGAAAGTCATGAACCCTGAAGAAGGGGTCACTGAAACCAGACACGAGGCTGAGATACACTGAGCCTCCAATACCTGTACCTGGTATCGAGTATCAGTGTATGCCATTGAAATATGCAATGCATGTTGGTTATACACATTTTATCATATATACTGTATCAGATGAATGGAAACCTTAGAGTAATAATATAACAATAAGCTTTATTTACGTAGATCTTTTGATATATGATATGCAGCTCATATACATATGCTTTACATACATCACGCAATTTTATTACTTGATGATTTTGTGACAGTTTTTGCAACATCTCCAATGGTAGGTGGTTGACCTCCACACCTTGAGCCTTTAGCATTAGCATTAATGTTTAGCATTAGCCGCTCGCGTCTACCTGCCACAGGTAGACAGCATACGGATGGACCCCACTGTTCCACTGCCACATCTGTGGGAGTCTTCCCCCCCGCCCTGTGTCGCTCAGTGCTGAAATGGCCGCTCTCTGCGCCCCTTCTGCTGTAATTTTATTAGCACCGGGATGAAAGCGCAAGCGCGCCGGCCATATTAAAAATGTACGCATCATCAAACTGTCAGCGTCCTGATGTAAGGGTGTCATTTGGATCCACCAAAACGTAATAAAGCCTCTTGCTCCTCTGAGGAAGCTTAAACACTCCCAGTTAATGGCCCTTCCTGGTCCCTAGAGTGACCCTGGTGACATGATTTTTTCTGGGACATTTCAACAGGACCCGCATCAACTTTTCATGTCATGTTACGCTTCACATTATTGATTATCTGACCAAGGAATGCAATTAGAATCTTCCATGTTTCTAGGCGCTAATCCGGAGGTTGTAAAGAGGAACGAAACATTTATGCTGTTGTTACGGACTGGCAGTGCAGCCTCCGGCCGTAACTGAACTATCGTCTGGACGCCATTTTTGATGTCACCTCTTCTGTTTCGTTTGTTTGGGGAGTCCATAAATTGACTTAACTTTGTTTTTCTTTTAAAAAAAAAAAAAAACAGGAAATGACATTTTCCACGACATCGACAGCGACACGTCTTTAACCAGCCTGAGCGACTGCTTCATGGCATCGTCTGAGGTCGGCTCCCTGCAGGCACGGGTGGGAAACCCCATTGACCGGCTCTACTCCATGCAGAGCTCCTACTTCGCCTCATGAGAGCGACTGCGGGCAGAATCGATGATGCAAGACTGTGGAGCCCAGTTTCGTTTCGAGACAAGATGAGCGGAGATCTAGGTCACACGAGTGACTCGGAAGAACAACAAGCTCTTCTATGGACTAACCAAATGCTGGGAAAAGCCCAATGAGCTTCACTGCCTTTAAGATACATTGAGGATGCGTGCTCATTTGTAGAGAAGCACGTGTGGGGCTCAGGTCCCGACAGATACGTTTTTATAGAAATCTCTGTAAGATATTTGTATATCATTCTGCAAATGAGATTTCCCTCCTTTTTTCCCAACTCCCTCACAGAAAGGCATATTTCCATAATCAGCAACGCAGATTTCTGACTGGTCATATGAATTCTGCATCATTCACACACAATGCATGACTCTGCCATTATTGTGTGGCCCTTAAACTCAAAAAAAGAAAAAACGGTTAAAGGCACAACTGTTGTGGTTTCTGGAAACACATTCCCTATTTTATATAACGTTTGCATAAACATTAGATGATTTCTAGTTTTAACCCTAATGATGTACAATATGAAAAAGATGAATGGACAAGGTAAAAAAAAAGAATAAACAAATAATTGTGGAGGTTATGTAGTGTCATTTCAGTGTATATAATTGGAAGTGTTTCCAAAATGCTAGAGCATGTAGAAAAAAAACGAAAAAACAATGTTGTATTTATTTAAATAAAACATACACCAGACGGTACTTTAGAAAGTGAAAAGCTTTATTTAAAAAGGAGAAATTTTAAATCTCTGTGTAAAGTAGTACAGTAAACTCATAGATATAATTCCTTTGTATGTCATTTTATGGAATTATAAGATTGAACTAGTTTTTTTTTTTGTTTGTTTTGTTGTTGTTTCGACCAAGCTGTACAGGAGAAACACTGCTATTTATTTGTCACAAGCTCATTGACACCTTGTTGAGAGTGCATTTCAAATGCTGAAATTCGCTAATTTACCAAAGTTTGTTGGTACTACAAATAAACTCTGAAACACTCGTTTTTTTCACTCTTAATGACCTGGTTCACCTCAAAGAAGCTTTGACAGTCTTGGTCATCATCCTTCTATTGGAGGTGATGGCTGAGTCATTGTCTGATGTAATCGAGCGGGTGTGTTACTTTTGATATGTTTGTGTCCTTTTATCACGTCTGTGTGTGATGGTGCAGCACAATGGAAGCCCTTTCCTTGGCGTTTCCAGACTATAGAATGTGTTTCAAACTGTTTGACTGAATGTTGGATTCTCCTCCATTGGGCTTAGAAAAAAAATCAGCAACAATAAAAGAAAAATTGACACCACTGTGTCAAGCCCAACAAAGCAATTCAGAGGCGTGGAGCGGGCAAAACATTTTTGGGGTGTGTCAGTTTTAGAAATTGTGTTATGTAACACTGATCTTTAAGATCAGTTTATATGAGTCGCTAATCATGGGATTTTTCCGGAGTAAATACAAATGGAAATAGGGATTTGATACCTTGCGAACTGAAGGCATGGACAGCTTTACACGTCCCCTTAAACCCTGTGTGCTGTATCCTGAGTTACTGTTGGCCATTTACTTTACACAAGTGCCCAGGGGGGGGCCCAGGTGTCAGAGGTCGTGGCCTCTGCTTATTAAAGTCAGTGTGTAATCATCATATCTGAGGCTGGGGGGGAGGGGGCTCTGAAGCTCATTTTTTTGCTGCAGAGTCACTCGGGAGACATTTACAGAAAGGGATATAAACTTTTTACTAGAAGCAATATACACTTTTATAAAAAGTGACAAATAAAGCTTCGCCCATTTGTGTGGCTGGAAATTTGTACCGAAGCAGTACAACTTAAGAGACCTTGTTTGAGGGCACAACCATAAGCTGTTTCTGGGTGAAGAGCCTACAGCCAGCTGGCGGTTCTCCAGTGATTTTACACGGTCGTGCCAGGATGTTATTTCCCTTAACAAGCATTTTTAAGCAAAATTGTTTTTTAACATTTCACATTTTTACTGAAGTGTTTTAAAGGTCGAGTTCCTCTTTCAAAGGGTGCAATTACTGTCCAGTTAAACCTATAGTCTAGTGTCGTAACCGATGCGCCACCTATCTAAGAAAATGTGAAATGACAGAGCTCTGTTATGGAGAAGATTCCCACCAGTGCGTTCCTAGGGCACCAAGACAGCTTAGTCAATATACAGTCCATATACAGGTATATAGCGGCACAAGATAACATTCCAGCAGGACCACAGTACAACAGACAAACAGCAGAGACGTGGGGAGGATTTTCAGAAAACAGAAGACAGTGTGAAATACGGGGCCTGAATATAGGGTTTATGTCGTGGTGGGTTTTCACCAAGGTGTTCCACAGAGCTACCATGAATGTTTTTTTTTATTTAATACTCGTCTGCAGTCGTGATGCAGTGGGAAGTGAAGAGGAGCCAAGAAACCTTCATAAATCTGAAGACCTTCAATGACTTCGCCGGGGGCACCTGCTCAGTGCTCTGTTATTGCATCCCTGGACCGGAGGGGGGGAGCGAGTGAAATATCTATGGAAGCACATCGGTTTTAGTGCCCAGTGTCTGAGAAAAC